TTGCTCATCTTGAGCCCAATTTGATTTGAATGAGTTGTAGAGATCAATATAAAAGGGAAGTGAACTGAATGTATGCACCTAAAGTAGGAATAAACAGAAGACACTTATTCGTAGCATTCACGTAGAGCTCTTTAGCAAAGGCTAAGAGGTCCAATACGTTACCCTGTGCTAAAAAAATGTGCATGAATACAGGCTAAGAAATACTAGGTACAGAGTAAATCTGGTCAGTCCAAAGCCTTAGCACAGGCAAAACAAAACATGCATGAATGCTTAGCTCGGCTAAAAAAACCATTGTATTTAATGTTCATTTAGGAGATTTACTACTATATTCATAACTTTTTATTTTGGTGTGCCATTTCCCGCATGACAATCAACGCTAACATATATAGAGAGATTGACTCAAGAAAAAATGTACCGATGATGAGACTCTGTGCTACTTCCTGTTATTCTGCAATTTGCACTTTCTGAATTTGCTTTGGTATTGTTTTATAACTGTAGAACCATGGATGTACTAAGAATGGTAGAACTAACCATGGAACTAAAAAAAGGGTTTATAGTTCCATGAACTAACCTTCCTAGTTACTCTTACTGATCGAGCACTCATAGTTAAAATTTCTGAAGATTTTGCCTATTCGTAATAAGTTTGGGCGTTCCTTACCCCGTGCTAACCATTGTTTCCTTCTGTGCATGAACTCAAACATATGAGATTAGCTTAAATCTTAGCCCGTACTTTGTGTAGCATGAACACTACTATTGAAGATACAGGGGGCAAATGGGCGAGACTTAAACAAAATATAATGAAGGTGTAATATGCAGTCAGTAAATGTCCTGGGAGTTTCTGGGTCAGCCAAATTGATCATGGGTACTCTGGCTCAACTTGGACAAAAAAATATTTAGTCTATACATGTATAACATTACTTAAATAAATCTTTTTTTAGCTCCATAGACCTTAGAGAACAGGGACATACTACTGTGGCTACCCCTTTCATGTAACCTTAGTTATAATCCTCTACCCAAATTAACACCTTAGAGAAACTGATAATAAAGCTATGTCAACACCACTGTTACATCTTTTTCTATTTCATAAGCCAAACATGGCTGCCAGGGTGTAGCTACACAAAATGAGACAATTTTGTGGTTGGAACATAATCAGAAAAGTTAAATTTGATCAAAACTTGAATAGCCAAGTCCATTCTATTGATGCGAGTGAAACTAAA